GACTGTGTGTCCTATTTGTATACTTGTCTGTCCCTTGTCACAGTCTTCCATCTGGTCCCCTAGGGGAGTGTCCACCAGGTGGGAGACCTGCATAAAAGCCGGGCAGGTAGCCCTCATTAAAGCAGACCACTGCTTGACCCTCAACACGGAGCCTTGTCTCGTCTTTGGGGGGATTTACTGTATGCTGCTAAGGACTGATTGCCAGGAGTGTAAGCCGCTTGGAAGCTTTTCCTGTTCGCCTGCTAGCAGCTATTCGCATGGTTCCTGTTCGTTTATTTGAAGTGCTACCTTATTCCCTTGTATGCCGTTCGGGAGTTTGGAGCATTCACTTATTGGCGGTTCGTGAGTTTTGGTGATTCTACAGTAGCTGTGCCTGTCTCTGAAAGGGGGATTATCGTCTAAGCGTTTTTTTCCCCTTTTATGCTAAACGGTCCGTTACAATTGGTGGCAAGTGGCGGGATCGTTCCCACAGACTACAGGACAGCTACAGGCAACACCATTCCTTGGATTTACAATTTGAGGGCAACGCATGTCTGAGTACAGCGACCCTGACAGCAACAGCATGGAACCAGCAGTGTCATACGAGGAGGAGGACCTGGATGGCCGTGATGCATTAAGGAAAGGCATCTGGTACCAGGCCCTGGATAATGTACAGTACCAGCGGGGTGAGAGTCTCCCCAGTGAAGAGCAGCGGTTGCAGAAGCAAGTGGCCCTGCGGATGCCCTTCCTGGGAGAGCAGCCCCTGGATGAATGGGTGAAGAAATTGGAGCACCGGGTATGGCAGGAGATTTGGCTGGAAGATGCCTACCAGGCGCTCTGGTGGTATGGGGCACAGTACCTGCCCTGGACAGCCGAGCATGACAAACCAGAGGGAGAGGAGTTTGATGGTCCTGGCTTGTTATGGGAGGCTTTTTCAGAGCCTGAATTTGGGGGCCCTACACAAGCCCGGTTCAGTGATCTCTTGGAGTGGAGGGAGAGCAGGTATGACTGGGACGACACTCACGACATTGAGCAAGACCTGGCTCACCTAGCAACCCTGGAGTGGGAACTGGAGCAGGACTACCGAGATCTCTTCCACTCCATTGAGAAGATTCAGCAGGACAGCAAGGTGACAGAGTCAGAACCAGACCCATTCAGCTGGGAAGACATTGTGGATATTTTCTGGGAAGAACCCCAGGTGGCCGGTAGAGATGGGACCGAGGTCTCTCCACCGGTCCTGCAGGGAATTGGGAGCCCAGTCTCCATTCCCCAGCGGCCGTGTGATTTATTGGGAATTGGGAGCCCGAGCTCCATTCCCCAGCGGGAGATATTGCAGGGAATTGGGAGCCTGAGCTCCATTCCCCAGCGGCAGGCTGAGTTACAGGGGGCAGAGGTAGTTGTTCCTGCCCCCCAGCAGCCAAGTGATATGCCGGGAAGGCAGTGGGAAGTCCAGGGAGAGGAGAGCAGTGTCCTCCCTCCCCAGCGGCAGCGTGATTTTTTGGGAATTGGGAGCCCAGTCTCCATTCCCCAGCTGCAGAATGATGCTTTGGGAATTGGGAGCCCAGTCTCCATTCCCCAGCGGCAGTATGATGCTTTGGGAATTGGGAGCCCAGTCTCCATTCCCCAGCGGCAGCACAGATTATTGGGAATTGGGAGCCCAGTCTCCATTGCCCAGCGGCAGAGTGTCCTACCGGGAATAGAGAGCCCAGTCTCCTTTCCCCAGCAGCAGGACTCTGTATTGGGAGCAGAGACAGTCGGTCTCCCTCCCCCACAGCTGGAAGTATGTATGGGAGAGGAGCTTGTTACCCCTTCTCCCCAGCGGCAGCTTAATGTACAAAGGGGAGACAGTAAGCCCCACAACCGTGCAGATGGGACCGTAGTCTCTACACTGCCAGCACAGGGGGTAGGGATGGTCGGTCCTGCCCCCCAGCGACAGGGCTGTTTAGCCAAAGGGGAGACAGTCGGTCTCCCCCTCCAGCAGTTGAGATGGGTAACCAAAGGGGAGACAGTCGGTCTCCAGCAGCAGGACTGTGTATCTAAAGGGGAGACAGTCAGTCTCCAGCAGCAGAGCGGTGTATTTAAAGGGGAGACAGTCGGTCTCCCCCTCCAACAACCAGGCTTCCACCAGGCTACCCTCCCAGTAGCGCTGGCAACAGAGCAGAGTGCCGCTGGTCTCTGCCCACGCAGCAACCCACCAAGTCAGCGTACCCGTACCCAGCACAGCCGTGGTGAGGCACCTGGACATGGACAAGCTTCCCCTTTACCCAGGTGTAGTAACCATTTATTGTGGGTGGGCTGTGCTGTTGATTATTTGTTGTGGGTGGGCTGCTGGTCTAACAAGGGCACTGACCGGCAGGAGGTCAGATACCCTGTTAGTCTGTTTGGAAAAGGGGAGAGATGTGACGAGACCAATCTCGCCACATTGCATTGGAGAAGCCTGGTTGCTCGCCTGCTGCCTTTGGACTATGGCCCGCTTTTAAAAGACTTTATTTTTCCATGCAGAAAAGCCATATTCATGCTTTTCTGCCGGTTGTTCGGTAGTTTCAATCTACCGAACAACCGTACGAATGACTGGACCACTTGGGAGCTGGAGTGTGCCGGCAATTAACCTCCCTGAAGCAGCTTAATTGATGAACGCTGGGTGGCCGCCGTTCGTATCCCGAACACGAGGTCGCGGCCATTTTAAACCATACGAATGAACAGCGGTGTTCGCCTCTATTTTCATGGAACTAAAATCGGACACAGTTTTGCGCGAACACCGCTGAAGCCGCCGAACTCCCTTCTTGTTCGGTGAAAGCACACGAATGACCCGGTGTTCGGTATTTTTGTGTGAATGTCTTATACCCCAGATAGGAATCCCATGGAGCCCCTTCATATGAAACTGACTGTAAAGACTTTGGCTCCATGGCGATTGAACTGTATTCGTGTAGTCTGAGTGCCATTCACCTAATAATGTGCACTCAGACCTGAGCTATCTGGGGATGTGTTACATGCCTGTGTTTAATGTAGTAAATGTTACTTTGTGCATTTTAAAGTATAATGCTGTTTTGTGTTCCCACGTGTGTAATGGAGTTTTGCCTTTGTCCTGGGAGATAATTGAATTACTTCCCAATTATCTCCCAGGGCAGAGGGGAGGAAGCCAGGATGCATTGTGGGAATATACTGTGACTGTGTGTCCTATTTGTATACTTGTCTGTCCCTTGTCACAGTCTTCCATCTGGTCCCCTAGGGGAGTGTCCACCAGGTGGGAGAGCTACATAAAAGCCGGGCAGGTAGCCCTCATTAAACAGACCACTGCTTGACCCTCAACACGGAGCCTTGTCTCGTCTTTGGGGGGATTTACTGTATGCTGCTAAGGACTGATTGCCAGGAGTGTAAGCCGCTTGGAAGCTTTTCCTGTTCGCCTGCTAGCAGCTATTCGTATGGTTCCTGTTCGTTTATTGGAAGTGCTACCTTATTCCCTTGTATGCCGTTCGGGGGTTTGGAGCATTCACTTATTGGCGGTTCGTGAGTTTTGGTGATTCTACAGTAGCTGTGCCTGTCTCTGAAAGGGGGATTATCGTCTAAGCGGTTTTTTCCCCTTTTATGCTAAACGGTCCGTTACAGGTTTGAGAAGTGATTTTGAGATGAGTCTCTTGACGCTGTAGTAGGCTACTCTCAGCTATAGATAAAGGGGGGTTGGGCATTATACATTGATAAAGCGCTTGTACATTTGTGTGTATATATCCCTATATTAAAACACTTTGTTATGCGCCAGCAATTCCAATTTTGAGCCTGATCTAAATTTTCTTTCTAAGTTTGATGCACATTACACTGGTGGAGGATCACAGTGCATGAACTATATGGCACCAGTGTGTCAGGTTTACTAATTTCTCTAAGTATTGCAGTCACTATCGATCATCATGACACATAATGGGTGGGATTGTGAGCAGTGGAGCCACTGGTTGTATTGAGCACATGAAAGAGGTCCTGGCAGGTAAGATGGCATGCTAGAGTAAGAGCACGTAACCAACCAATATCTCCTGTTTAATCACAGTCAGTTAAAATATTTGTGTGAGAACACACACACACACACCCCTATGGTTGGAGGCATTCAGAACCTGGCAGTTTAATTGATGCATAACATTTGTGATGACAAGTTATTTCATCAGTATACACCTTCTGACTACTCATATGAGGTTAAAGCACCAGAAATAACTTCACATTGTGACTCAGCCAGTCATCAATTTAAACGCCTGGGAGTAAAGAGATGGGTGCCAGATCAAAATGACCCATAAACGTAATGCTTTTTCTTAGCATTCCCAAAATATCAAAATACCACAAGCAGCTCTTTTGAGAATAAATATACATATACTGAATAAACACATATGTACGTTATATTACAGTTTTGTGCATGGAAAATAAATGCAATATCTATAGTATAGCATAGAATATTTCTGCAGTGCTAAAAGGTGTACTTACCATACCGTTGTCACACACATATACAAGCAGTAACACACTGTCACATGCATACACTGAGATGCAATTACAATAACATACATACAAGGAATAAAATCACGCACAAATACACACGAATAAACATAAATACACACAGTCACACTCCTTATACACACAATTACATGGGCCGAATTCAAAACAAGGCCACTGGCAGCATCAAAACCAACCAACCGGGCTTGTGGGACACTGTGGACCACACTATATGATTAGCAGGCCTGGCGCCTAAAATATAAACCTCCATTTACCGATATATATAAAGACAATCACCTCCATATACACATACTTACTTAGAGACAGTCACCTTCACGTAGACACAAATACAATCATCTCCATACACACATGTATACATACATACAATCACTTCTATAAACATATACATACAAACAATCACTTCCATATACGCAAACATACGGACAATCATATG